AGGGTAGGAACAGACTACACCCATCATCTGGGGGATGGCCTTGTTTTCACTGAGAGTGCTCAGGACCCCCAACCTCCAGCTTTACACACACCCCCTGACTCACACCCAACACTTCCTGGCTTCCTAGCTCAGAGTCTTGGCTTCCTTACCCTTCAGGACAAGACTTGTGACATTAGGACTAGACAAATGCCATGGTGTCATCTTCGTATTGATTCTCCAGGACCTTCAGGTTTCCTGAGAACTTACTGGTTTGAATCTGTTCCAGCGATTGGCCTGATAAGCACAGACCTGGTGGCACCAGTGACAACAGTCTCAGCACACCCCCTTAACAGGAGAATGGGGACACCGCCTATCTCAGCTGGGGACTCTCAAGTGTAAACTGAGGCTGAGGCGAGAGGGGCAGCCAGCTGCAAGCAGGTGCTTGGCATGAATCGTGTCTTTGTGCACGGTTCCCTGCCTGCCACCAGCAAAAAGCCCTGGAGTAAGTTATAAAGCACAGCAGGCCGCAGAGAAGAGACACCATCTCTACCATCCAGATGTTCCTCATCTGCAAGCAGCCAAGCCGGTTCTGCAGCAGTTGGTCACAGCCTCCTTGCCGCCAGATGTCATGGGCTTAATACAGCTCACCTTAAACTAGCCAGCTCCTGCATATCGACATCCCATTCTGCACACACATTCTTGGCACGAGCGTGCTCAAAAACTCCAGACTCTGAGCCCAGAAACAATAGCATCAGAGGAAGTGTCACAAAACTAGGGAATTCCCGAGCAGGTTCGTGTGTGTGTGTGTGTGTGTGTGTGTGTGTGTGTGTACACCCTTCTTACTTTGAGCCATTTCAGCTAAATAAATCATCCTCTGTTTTCTGCTCTTGGGGGCGGTGCAGGGTCTCATGTAGCCCAGGCTTTCCTTGAATTGTCTATGAAGCCAAGGATGACTCTGAATATAGATCCTCTTTTTCCACCTCTGGAATGCCGGGATGATAGGCACACACCACATCTGGCTGGAAATCTTTCTACTACTGTGGGAGGGAAGCCTGGGGGCCCCTAGTTATCACCCCTGTCCTCTCAGCAGTGTCATCCCTTCCCCGTGGAGGGGGAACGAGTCTCCGCTTCTTCCACAGAATCGCAGAGGTACGGCGGGAGTCATAAGCCCTCACGCTCAGGATAATTGACGGCTGTTCTAAGTCTGCCTTCTGTCACCCGCACGGTGTAGTCTGTCTGCTGTGCAACAAGGAGCCCCGTGGGAAGGACCACGTGCCAGAAAACAGGCCTGCCACAGCCGAAGTGCTTAGAAATGGGTGCTCCAGGGGAGGCCCCAGCCCTGCACACAGTGTGACCACCACCTCGTGCGAGAACCTGAGCTAGGAGCACTCGGCTGCACAAGCCCAAGGACCTGTTGCAAACCTGGGGACAAAACGTTATTCATCCAGGGATGGAGAACCAGCAGCCATCGAGCATCGTGAGCTAGGCCTTGGTCTGTTCTGGTCCTGGTGTAAAAGCAGCTTTGATCTTCATACATACAAGCCTGTAGCCACAGCTGAGCTGTGAACCTGTGGCTCCTCGGATTGGCCTGTGGGATGTGAGCATGGATTGAAGTCACACCTCAGTGTGAATTGTTGAAGATGGCAAGGGGTAGAGGGTGCAATTCTTTCCTCTAACGTGCCCACGGGTTGGTGGATTTTGAGGGGTATGGGTCAATCTCAGGCTAAGACTATATGTGTATAAGCTGTGGTGGAAGACAGAATCCAGGGACGTGCTAGACAAGTTTGGGTCTTTTTATCTTTTTAATTAATCTTTATTTTTTAATGTAGATAGGTGCTTTGTCTCTGGGTGTGTGTCTGTGCACCACGTGCCTGGAGTGACCCCAGAGCTCAGAAGAGTGCATGGATCCCTGGAGCCAGAATTACAGATGCCTGTGAGCTGCATGTGGGTCCAGGAATTGAACCTGGGTCCTTTGGAAGCGCGACCAGTGCTCTTAACTGAGAAACCATCTCTCCAGCCTGCGTGTCAGGTCTTAAACATGCAAATCTGTGTTTGTTTGTTTTGCTGACTCTCTAGAGCCTGACATTTTTATGAATATGTGCACAACTACCAAGTCCTGACTTAAAAATCATTCAAAGGTCTCCACTGCTGCAAACAGAAAGGCCAGATTCTTTCAGACAAGACTCCTGGGGGTCACCTGTATAGCCTGACCTTCTCCTCATGCTGGGAACGCTGCCCAGCTCACTCATCTTTCCACTCCTGTTAATCTCAGACATGGCTCTCTCCCAGCTCCCACACTCAACAGTGAAGGTCAACTCTGCCCTGCTTCCTTCCGCCCACCACGACGGGTGCATTTTCCTCAGCCCTGGCCAGCACACAGCAGGTGCTGGAGTCTGGGTTGAATGACGAGGTGCCCACTGCACGTACCCATTGACTGGCACCCAGGCTTGGATCTGGAAAACCCAGAAGGATGACAAGGTCAGTAGCCAGGATGGCAGAACGAGTGGGAGTCACACCCACCTCAGGAGCAGCCTCGAGGGCAGAGATGGCACCTGGCCTTCCCAGAAACAGGAATTTCTAGTCAAATGTTCGCCTACTGAGCAGGACATCAGAGAGAAGCTTTGTCGAGCATCAAAACCAAGAGTCTGAATTTCAAACACTGTGGTCAGGTGGTCACCCTGGAGACACAGCAAGAAAAGAGCTAGCTTCCCAGTTAGGGCGCTGAGCTTCAATTCTGCCTCCACACCTGTAACTGGACAAGGTCCCCATTGCTATCTCAGCCTCTTGTCCCCTTCCAGTCTCTTTGACTTCCTTCTTCAGCACATCTGAGTCAAAAAAGACCAGCAATTAAACATCCCTTCCACTCTCTCATCTGCCAGTCTCCTCGGTTCCCTTTTGTGAATTTGTGAACACCTTGACCCTCAGCACTGGTCAGGATTGTCCAGTCAATACTCAACAAGAACCAAACGGTGCCCGCCTGGCACACTGGCCCTCTTCTGCTCCAAAATTGCCATTAGGTTCATCTGGAGGCCAAAGACCTAGGAGGGGACCCAGCCGGTTCTCAGGACTGATTCCTCTCACGGCTGTGTGTGCTGGGAAGCCCACCAGCACCTGGGACACAGCACACACACCAAGTCAGGACAATCACAGAAATAACACCAAAGCAGACAAAACTCCCTTTCCAAAGCATCTTGGCCGGGGACAGAGTTCCAAGCCCGGCAGAAAGCAGTGTCTCCTCTGGCCTTCTTCCCTTACCTCATTGCCAGGGACTGGTTTTAGTGTGCTGTTTTGTTCTTTGGGGTACTGAGGATGGAAGCCAGGGCCTTACGCATGGACCCACCACTGTGTTCCACTGTCCCAAGATCCTGACTAGGCACCCTTATTGCATGCACACCTTGTATTTGTAAGATCAGCTTTGGAGACAGCACACCTGCAACAGCTGGCCTTTGCTGAGTGCTGTCAGTATTGCTGACCTCCCCGTAAGTCACCACGTGCCCAGGCTCCCTCACGAAAATTGTGCTGCGGGGAACACGACCAGGTGAGGAACACACCTGCAGACAGGTCGCCTTTGAGCATCTTAGGGGAACGAAGTCCACCTGTCTCAGAGCATCTCCATGCAGGTTACACCAAACCCACACCTGCGCACTCTCAAACTCCCCGATGACAGCCAGCTACGCATCAGGATACTCAGGGATGCCCAGCTGTGTACGAAACATCAAAAGATAGAAAAAAAAAAAAAAAACAGAAAAGGACGGAAGGAAGCAAAGCCATCTGTGTCAACAAACTCACGCCAAACCCCTGTTAACAACGCATTATAAACATGTAAGGACACACTTGGCATTAGCAAAGGATTATGGTACACCGCTAACCCACAAGGCTGCAGACAAACACGGATGGGTTTGAATCCTGCCGTTCACAGCCCTAACAGCAGAATTCTTCCACTAACACTCATGCTGTAAATAAATGCATTAATATTTAAGAACCATGCCATGGAATATTCTGACTGTGGCATTCTTTGGGAAGAAATAAAATCGAAATGTTGCCAAACATTTTCTGTCATACAAAACAAATTTAATCTGGAACCCCCCCCCCACACACACAAATGACAAGACCGTATTTTGGGGGGTGGGAGTTGTTACCCAGGGTCAAGCATGGGAGTTCTAGGTGTGCCACGGGCCTCCAGACCTTACAAAGCCAGTGCAGGGGAGGGACCATGCTGGGCCATCAACCCATGGCTGTATCCTAACTACTCCATCAGAGGCACCGAAACAACTTCTATAGTTGTTGGTCCTGGGAAGAAATTCTCAGCCCTGCAGTCCTGAAGAGCTATCCTAGAGGATCCCCTGGAGATTCAAAGTCACAATACAGCTCGGAAGGGCTTTTTTCTGGTTGGTTTGTTTTTGAAACAGGGTCTCTCTACATAGTCCTAGCTGTCCCAGAACTCACTATGTAGACCAGGCTGGTCTCCAACTCACAGATATACACCTGCCCCTGCCTGCCAAACGCTGGGATTAAAGGCGTGTGCCTGGCTCAGAGTAGCTTTTAAAAACCACACGGATGTAGAGGGAAAAAAAGCTGATAGCCCTACTGAGTTGTTTCAATTTTCACTATTAAACTTGGGCAAGATTTTGTGGGGCTATTTTTGGTCTCTACCCCAACCCCATCCTCCTTAATTTCAGCAGCTTTTAAAAGTCCATACAACTGCCTGTGTGTGCAGAGGCATTTAAATCCCCTAGAGTCAGAGAAACCTAAGTCCCTGGCTAGGTGGCCTTGCCAGCTGCGTGCCCTTAAAGAGCACAGGTCTGTTTCTCATTACTGAATGGGCTTAGCCTACCCAGGTGAGTTCTCTGCCTAGAGCTGGGTCGAGCTGATTCTTTCAAGCCAGCTTCTCAGAGTCAAAGGAGGTGACGAGTGGAATCTCAGTGCCCAGCGACACATGGGTCCCGCGGGTCAGATGCAGGATCCCAGAGGACACATGTGGAGTCTGATCCCATGCCTCATACCGGATCGCTCAGACTCACCAGGGTCTCTACCTCGTCCCTCTCCAGAGCCTTGTACCGGTGGTCCTGACCCAGAAAAGCCAGTTTCTGCAGAAACTTGAGGCGTCTCCCCATGGTGAACGTGTGTCCAGGCTGCTCCACGGCCCGACGTGGGGCGGGTCGCAGTCCCTGCCCGCGTCCCTGGGGCCCAAGCGAGCCCACGGCTGCTGCGCGCCCAGGCTTCCCGGGCGGCCAGGTTGCCCGGGAGCTGTCTACCTAGTCCCCAGGTTAGCTCCGCCCCTGGGCAGGGCTGCAGCAGCGCCGCCCTCTGCACAACTGGCCCGCCCCGACGGCGCCAGGACCCTAAACTCTCAGACTCAACCTCAGGGGCTCTGGAAAGACCAGGAAGCAACTGTGTAGTCTTAGAGCTGTGGTTCTTGTCCAAACCTGCCAGAGCACAAGAGTCACCTGGAAGGGGGAAGGTCCTGAGCCAAAGTCTTACATGGGGTAGTGTAACTCGGGGCTAGTTACCTGGCCTCTGTGAGACACCTAGCTGCATCTGTAATTGAAATGGAGCAGAAGACTGAGACCTTTCCAACAGGACTCTTATCTATACCTACCTGGGTGTTCCCTTGGGAATAGGAAACCTGTGGAAGATCTTTTTTTTTTTTTTTTTAAGATCTCCAACTTTTATCTTGGAGAGCACACTTCTCCCTTGCAAATGGTGGGGGTGAGTGTTGTATGTTTCCTGAATCTTTGGTTATCACCCTGCCAAATAGCCATCAGGACAGCACCCCCTCCCAGGAAAACCGGGGGTCCTGGAGGCAGTGTGATGGGGCATCCTGTAGGACTCAGCACAGAGCGTGCTTGCGCCAGCAGAATGCTGGGACTCCTTGGCGGGGAGAGGGATGTCAGACACCTCCCAAAGGCAGGAGCTGCTGTGGGTTGCCCCGTGTGTGCTGAGGGAAGCCAGAAAGAAGGCTTTAGGGGGCACCAGCGTCCCTAACTCCACAGAGCAGAGGTGGCCCTAGAGAAGGCTGGGCCATGCTCCATCCCGGGTTTACTTCTGACCACAAGCAGACTAAACTGTCCCCTTTGAGCAAATATTTGCCACCTGCCTCACTGGCTCCCCCAAGTGGTGGCCACTCCAGTCCTGGTCAACCTGATGGGACACTTTAGTGGGCTTCAGTCACCCTCTGTCTTCCTCTCTTAACACCAAAGCGCCCGGGCACGCTACCCATTCCCCTCCACAATGCCTGCTCCCATCATGAGACCCCCCTCCCCAGCATGAAATGTCACCCCCAGCCCCAGTCCCAAAACAGAGGAACTACGGAACTCCCTCGACTTTGCAGTCCAGGCCACGCACTTCCAGACGTGTGTGAGCTGGGATGACTCTCCACACCTCGCTGAACCTCAGTTCACTCTTCCTTGAAGGAGTGGCACTACCTACCCACCGGTATGAGCTGGGGTCCCAAAAGGAAACAGCACCCTCAAACTGAGTGATCTGAGAGCTGGAGTGAGAGACTGTCCCCAAAGATGTGGGCATAGGTAGAGGACGTGGAAAGGACTTGAGGTAGTAGTAGGGCGAACTGGGTACAGGTGGGCCCTCCAGAATGGGCACCTAGAGAGGACAGAGCCACTGTGTGAAACCGAGAGCTTGGGGGAAGAAAGTGGCTCTGGGTAGAAGCCAGCAATCATGGGTGCCTCCTCCTGGGATGAACCCCTAGGAGAAGGGTAAGAAGGTATTCTGTGGCAACAGTAGAGAGGCTTCCAGAAAAACCACCAGGGTCTTTTGTGTTGCTGGAGAGAGTTTGTGCAGTAGGAAACCTGTGCCACTGCCTAGCCCCATCCCACACGAGTTCTCTGGAGAGTCTGTGGAGCCTCTCACCTTCCCAGGGATATTGCTGATGGGGCAAGGCAGACACCAGCATCCGCAGCCATGGGTTGGCCAACACTTCCCCTGCACGGCCCAGCTCCTGGATCCCATCCCCCATCCCCACTCCCTCCAGATGTGTGGAGACTAGAATCTGTGGGCAGGAGTGAGGATGCATAGGAAACGTGAAAGGGAAGACTGGGTGGTGGGTGTCATGGAACACCCCCATAACGAAGCAGATCATGAAAAGATCAGCATGGTGACTGGAATTGGCTGGATGGGCACACTCACGTGTTGGAGACTGAGGTGGCAGTTGGCGTTGGAGTGAGAACGTAGAGTCCACACACGCCTCTGCTAGGTTTGAACTTACTGAGCACTTATTCCCGTTGTGCAGGCCATGTTCTTCTTCTTTCTGTTTTTTTCGAGACAGGGTTTCTCTGTGTAGCTTTGGAACCTGTCCTGGCACTCGCTCTGTAGACCAGGCCGGCCTCGAACTCACAGAGATCCGCCTGCCTCTGCCTCCCAATTGCTGGGGTTAAAGGCATGCGCTACCACACCCAGCTGCCTTGTATTTTCTTAGTCCATCTCTGTGGCACTGTGAGCCCCATGCACAGGATGCTTTGGGTAAAGCTGACTCTGCAGGCTGGAACTTTCCAGCCCTGGGGTTTTCCCTCCTCCCACATCAGTGTGTCGGGCTGGTCTCTCTCTACCTCTCTCACGCCTCACGCCTGGCTTCGGAGGCAAATACTCCCCGTCTTTCATCTTTTACTTTCATCTAGAGTACGCAGGGCTCTTGAACAGATTTCCCCAGCTTGTTTGCTCTGTCTCCCTTCTCAGTCTTGTCACTTGGCATACCAGGCTCGCTCCTCCAGACTCCCATAGATTTTATTCCTCCTTTGAGAAGTCTTGATTGTTTTATTTCTGTCTTCACCTTGGGAGGTGCTAGAACCCACATTTTAAGGAATGTCCTCAGACATAACAACCAGCTGGGAGCCTCTGAGGTGTGCAGGTTGGAGATGGCTCTGACAGCTGGGCCAGGGATGCGAGCCAAGGGCGGGGCCTGACCAGAAACATGTTGCCTTTCTTGAAATGTCTGTTCTGGACACCTTGAGCAATGAGTGAGGTCACGCCGGTCAACTCCCTTCACTCTCTCCCTGAAAGTGGAGGCCTTTCATTCTGCTCCCAAGAATGCATCTCTCGGAGCAGGCTTGACAGGCTCAAGGCACCTGAAATTTATGTGGTCATAAACTGCACTTCCGGGTTTGACGGTTGAAGGCGTTCTCTTCAGAACGGGTACGCTGCACACAGGTGTGTTTCATATTTCTAAGCTGTAGGAATGAGCTGGAAGTGGCCGCTCCTCATTCAAATACGCCCCCGCTTGTGTGTTAGTATCGTGCACACACCAAGTAGTACAACTACGGAAGGACATGTGACACGCCTGGGATCCCAGCACTGGAGAGTTAGAGGCAGGAGGATTGCTGTGAGTTTAAGGCTAGGCTGAGCTATGTTCTGAGACCTTGTCTCCAAACAACAGTAACAATATACTATACAGATGAAGAAAGTTAAGTCAATGGAGAAAAAATAATCCCATTGATTCAACCACATATTTGTGTGTGTGTGTGTGTGTGTGTGTGTGTGTGTGAGAGAGAGAGAGAGAGAGAGAGAGAGAGAGAGAGAGAGAACAGGTACGTACGTGAGCATGTATGTGGAGGTCAGAGGTCAACCTTGTTTGTCTTCTTTAATCACTCTCCACCTTGGTTTTCGAAACAAGGTCTCTCACTGACGTGGGCCTCCCCAAGGTGGCCGTTAAGCCACGGGAACTTCTCCTCTGCCTTCCCAGCACTGGGAGCATGGTGTCTCATCACATCTTGAACTCTGCCCCGTCTTCCTGTGCCTCCCGAGTACTGGGATTAAGGGAGTTCACTGGCACTGCCCCGCCTAGTGTTTTGTTTTGTTTTTTTAATTCGGGTATAGGGTTTGAACTCAGGTCTTTGTGCTTGCGTGGGAAGCGCTGTACAGATGGAGCCATCTCCCAGCCCCCTTTACAATACTTCTACTTCTCCTGGTTGGTGGGGAAGGAGCCACAAGTACAGCATGCTCTGACCCTGTCCCCTCCTAGTGGGTGACAGCTGCCGGGCTGCCATGAATCTGTGTGGTGCAATACTAGGCAGCGAGGTAGTAGGCTGAACAACGGCTGGGTGAAGACACGTCCAGCCCTCGTGTGTCATTTTGTTACCGCTGTGACAAAACTCCTAACAAAACCAACTCAAGAAAGGGTTTGCTAGGTTATTTTTTACCCACAGTTCCAAGAAATAGATCCGATCATGGGGAGCGGAATAGTGGTGGCCCGAGAGAGAGGCAGCTGGTCACATAGTCCCCACAGTCAGGAAGCAGAGAGAGAAGGATGCTGGTGCTCGATTGCTTTCTCCTTTGTAGGAAGCCCAGGAGCCCAAGACCCCAGCCCACGGCTTGGGGCTGCCCATATTTAGGGGGGGTTCTTCCCACCTCAGTTAACCTAGCTAAGCCCTCACAGACCTGTTCAAAGCTTTGTTCCATGGTGTTGCTAAATCCTCTCGTGTTAGCGATCACAGTCGAGAGTGGGCCTTTGTCGGGAATGAGGATCTTCACAGATGCACTTATCCTAAGTCTCTGGGGGCAAACTCAGCCTGGGCTGACTGTCGTCCTTGTTGTGGGGTGTTCGCAAGAGAAGACTGCTTAGACATGGGTTTAAGCCGATAGAAAGTCTTTATTAGCCGATTGGGGACTACATGGGGTGTTCGGGATTCCATTGTAGCAATGACTCTTCCTCAGGGTGAGCTTTTAAGCATGAAAACCGTGTTGGGTTGACATATTTCAGTTAATGAGAACTGTTAGCCAGAGGGGGAACTACCGAAGCTACAAAGCAAGGTTAGGGGCTGGAGAGATGGCTCAGTGGTTAAGAGCACTGCCTCCTTTTCTAAAGGTCCTGAGTTCAAGTCCCAGCAACCACATGGTGACTCACAACCATCTGTAATGAGATCTGGTGCCCTCTTCTGGCCTGAAGGCATGATTGCAGGCAGAATACTGTATATATAATAATAAAGAAAACATTTTAAAAGATTTATAAAAAGCAAGGTTAGTACATTTAGTTCCTGTGTGTGTCCTCAGTTGTGGTCAGGCTCTCAGAATCGTCTCCAGATCTGTCCTGCTCTGGCCACTTCTCCACAGCTGGGCGACATCAATGGTTTGGCAGGGTTTTCCTTCCAACAGGATGGATAAGCCCCGAGCTGTGCATGGTGACACCAGGACCCAGAGAAGGTGCCCCAGGGACTCACTGGAGCCCAAGGGGTAAACACATAACTCAGATGCCGGACTCCCTCACTCTCTTCCCACATCCATAGGCATC